ATAATATAATTTTACTTTCTAATTTAAATCTTGTGAGTGCAAGTTAATATATGATTCCTTTGAGCACGGTACAAGTGCGACTATCTGATTTTAGGTGAAGTCATCAGCTTATGCTAGATGAAGCATGAATTTTTTATATTTCAGTAATTTCAGTCTTTGTTTATTTTTTCTACATAAATTGTTATTGCTAGTTTAGTGCTCTTTATTTTAATAATAATTTTTTTCTTATAGATTATTTAAGTTAAATTTATTCATTTGTTTATTTATTTATTTATCTATTTATCATTTGTTTATTTATTTATTTATCTTCCCAAATTCTTGTTAAAATTTAATGAGTATTATGATATTTTCATTATTAGCTAGGCTTAAAGACTATTATTGTCTATTTTCATTGAAAGTAGCTTTTTGGTATAATTGAGAACTTGTGATGTGAGTGAATCATCTACTTCTCTTTTGTATGAAAGCATATTGCAACACTTCATATTAGTTTTAGTAGAAGATATAACTTCGAGTGAACTTGCAAAAAATTTGTATCAAATTTTATGGTTGCATTGTCAAATTGAATAAATGTAGGATATTAATTGAGTCAATAAAAATTAATAAATGATGTAATTTAGGCAGGATCGAGTAAGTTATGATTCAAGACAAACACTTTATAATTATATCGAGGTTTAGAATTGAATTTTTCAAGATGGTTTAATAAACTGGAGTTATTTGAATGTTACTTTTTATTTGATTATGAAAAGTAGATATTGCTAAAATAAACTTAGGCTGGACATGCTTAGTTATTTTGATGAAGTGTTTCAAGTGAAATAATATCAACATGATTTACATGAAATAATCTTAAATAGAATTATTTACCATTTGCCAAATATAAGGATGAATTTATAATTAATTTTAGAGTTGTTAACAAATTGATTCAGGTATGTTTGAATACTATGTAAGTTTTGCATGTATTGTAGTTGCACATGGTTTCCTTTGGTTTATTTTGTTACTACTACTTCATTAAAGGTCTTATGCTAGAAATTACGAATAAATTAAGCTATAATTTAACAAAAATATAATATGAGGCCTTATATTTTTATCAATGTGTATTGAGGCATGTTCAAGCATTCTATTAGGTTTGTTGAAGCTGTGACGATTCATAAGAAAAGCTCATTAACATGTAATTTAAAGCGAATGAAATATACCCTAATACAAGAGGCAAGTATGGTTGAAGTTTACAAATAAAAAAACTATGGTTTATGAATATTCATATGAAGTTGCATTAGATGATAAATACAATGTACAATGACTATATGAATTTGTATCCAATGTTGTTGAATTTAATTATGCATCTACAATAGACTTATATTCATGAACCTGGGCCTATAATTGATCAAAATCGGAATTGAAGTTTGAATAATGTTGAGCTTGAGTTCATATATGAAACTGAATTTTTAATAAAAATGGAGCTTATGTTTGAATGTGAAGCTGAACCAATCATTATGTGATGTAGGTAATGAATCAAAATAAGTGATGAAAATACAACGTTGGATGAATTCTTTGTTGATATTGTTCCTATGATTATCAAATTAATGTTGACTTTATTTTGGGTTCTTGATTTTTAGATATACCAATTCATAAAAAGAACCTTACAGACAATATTTTTCAGTAATTTATAAATAACAATTGCCTTAAAACAAACCTTAAATTTAAATTTTTTATTTTTATTTTTATGGTCATACTTTGGCTTGATTCCTTGTTCTTGATTTCTCGATATATCAATTTATAGGAGGAACCTCATAAAGGAAGTTAAGTCGCAACAATATTTTTAGCCATTTTCCAATAAAAAAAATCTTAAAACAAACCATATGTTTAAAATTCCATCTGCATGATCAATTCTAAATGTCCATCATTCATCAGACTTTATATTTAAATTATTTGAATTCGTTTTCTTTAAGATGTTTATTCTTACATATAAATATATCAAAAGTTGCATGTTTTGTTAGTGTGTAGTTTAATTGACATTTCATTTTCTAGGTCATTATTAATATTATTAGGATGCATCTTAATTTTGTTGTACTTTCATGACTTGCCTCATCTGACATTAATCATTGCATTTATTATTGTAGTTTTGAAAATTACAAGTTTTATGTGCATTGAACATGTAGTATGTTGAAAGTAAGTATGGTGATAAGGTCATAGTGCATTAAAATTCAGAAAATCTTCCACTTGAAATTTTTAAGTTGAATATAAGGAATGCATAACTTTTTAAAATTGTGCAAAACATTGAACTAATGCCTAAGAAATAGAAATTCCATGAAATTTTGATATAAATGTAGTGTTCAATGTATTTAATTTGACTTTATTTCACGACCAACTATCAATTATTTGGATTATACTCTCTTTTAAGTTATTTCTTTTGCATCCATGTTCAGTCCTCTGCTAAATATTTTTATGCAACATATTCACGAGATTATTTTAGATGATGAGATTATATCCAGTGCCAATAGCTACATATTAGAGATACCTTATTCATTGGCTAGATAGACTTGATTGCGGTTATTCATTGATTACTCTCTATGTACATATTTGATTGATAAGTATCAAATTCTAAATTCATCGGAGCCAAATTTGTCTAGACTGAGCATTTTTTTGGAAATCTGTGTTTATTCTTGTGGTGGCATGGCTTCATGCATTAATCTGTATGTTGTTTATATTTTTTTAACAAGTTGATTTCTTTCATTTGTTCATTTTATTTGTTAGGTGGTAATGGCTGAGAAGGGTTGTAATTGTTCAGAGAAGTATTTATTGGCTTTAGATTAGTGTTTTTGGTTGGCATAATTTCAGCATTGATTTAGTTAAGATTAATTTCCATAAAAGATGGTATGGAGTGCTCAATTCATTGTAGTTGATTTTTTTTCAAGCTGGAAGATTGATGCGGTGATTGCTATGAGATGAGGTGTTGGTCTTTGGCACTTTTTCATAAATAAAAAAGAAAAAATGGCTATTACAGAGGCGTGACCTTTGGTATTCTTTATTGCAATTTTTCTACCTTTGGGATGCATAGGTGATGTTAATTTGTACTTGGACTTATCTTTGATTTATGTTAAAAAGAAATTAAATATGGTCTTTGTGTGGTTTTGACTTGAATGGTGTGCAGCTTTCTTGGATGGGTGCATGAGTTGTAGTTGTTGCTATTCCATGGATTTGAAAATTTTAAAATAGAAGGTTGCTGTTTTAGTTAGTAGCAATATTTAAATTAAATTTGGAATTATTTTTAGAATAATTTAAAATTAAATTGAAACTGACGTAGACTATAAGTCTATAAATAGTAGGGGTGTAAAAAAAGGACCCGACTCGCCAACCCGTCCCGAAAAATTCAGTTTTGGATCGACCCGTTTAATAAACGGGATCTGCTTTGGGCCTGAAATTCTGACCCGTTTATTAAACAGGGCGGGTTCAGGTTGAACCTCCAACCCGATTTCGACCTGAAATGATTTTTATATTTTTTTCTTAGATTTTTATTTGTTGGTATGATTCTCTTATTTTTTATTAATTAATTTAAAATCTATTGTCTAAAAGTTATGATTTTTTTAAATAAAATTTGATTATTGAGTCGGCTTTGGGACGTTCATGATGCTAGCCAGTCCAGTTCTATTCCACATTTTGGACCCGTGTATTAAAGGGGTTGGGATCGGGTTGGCAGGATTCAGGTCGGGTCAATTTCTGGTCGGACCCGAACCCAACCCATTGACCCGTTTTGACACCCCTAATAAATAGTGGTACTAGATATATAATTCATAATTTCGCTTGAATAAAAATTTTAGAACTTATGATTACTAGTTAGATATGTGATTTCGTCGAGTTTGATACAAATGCGACTATTTAAAATCAGGAGAAGTCATTTTCTTGGTCCAATGTGAGGCATTTTTTTTTTATTATCTTGATAATTTCATAATTCACATAAAACGGCCGCCTTCTGATGACCCGGTTAGGAGACTAGATATATTAGATTTAACTCAAGTTAAGAAAGGTAGAGGTAGACCTAAAAAAATTTGGTTAGAAAATATTAGAATTGATATTTCTTTATTAGATTTAAATGAGAGTTTAACTTTTAGCATGGTACAATGGAGAAAAAGGATTCATGTAGCCGTCCCCACATAGCGGGATAAAGGCTTGATGTTGTTGGTGTTGTTGTTGTATCTTGATAATTTCATAATTGTCCATTTCTTCTACATAATTTATTATTGGTTAGTTTAATGCTCATGATTTTGATAAAAAAACTGATACATTGAAAATTGTATTTAGTGGAATTTTTTTTTTGGAGTTTAGGGTTTATGATATTTACGATTTCTTTATAATCAACTATGCTTAAAGATTGCTATTTCCTATTTTCATCGAAAGAAAAGAAGTTATTGGTATTGTTGGTAACTTGTGATTTGTGGATACTCTACTTTTTTTTTGCTTGAAAGCATATTTTGCATAATATTTTTTGTATTAGGAAACCTAACCTTGACTTGTCCTGTATGAATGACCAGTCCAGTTCTAGTATATTTTTTCCTCCATGCCCGTGACTTGGAACCTACACATTGTGTTTGAAACATAGCTCATTGTTGATTTGTTAATCGTGCTTAGAATGATTTTATGCAGCTATTTCGTGGCATGACTGGAGATGTTTTAATTATCTTTTTTATAATTGAAACATAGTTATACTTGGTTGAACCTGCAAGTTCTGTTTTTATTAGTTGAAAAGTCCTTTATTATGATATAATGTCATTCTTTCAACAGATTGAAAATTCTTGTGATGTGCTTGATGCAAAAATAATCTTTCCAAGCATGCTATTTGTTGCTTGACTACTTAATGATCTTGACATAGATCACTATTTTCTCATGCATTAACTTGTTGCATGTGGTTTCAATTCATTTACTATGTGTTTCTTTATTTGTTTGTAGATTTCTTGGCATTAATTTCACCGTTATACTTGACTTTGTTTTTATTATTGGTTGTGTTCCAGATTGAGTCTTTGGCACTGACATTTCATGGTCATGATCTCATAGTTGATTCCGAATTAGAGCTTAACTATGGCAGGTAAGCTCATCTCTACACTGCTCTTAAATGATAAACCAATATGAATGATAGAGCTATGGCACAGTGGAATCCTAATTAACTAAATGTTGAATTACATTATATCATTATATAATGGGGTTTATTAATATTTTTGTGCATGGTGTTTTTGGCAACCAAAAAGTAATGTTCGCCAGTATATTGCTATTTACAAAATACTCACAAATAATATCTCTTACAGGCGATATGGTTTACTTGGCTTGAATGGATGTGGGAAGTCTACACTTCTTACAGCAATAGGGCTTAGAGAGCTACCAATTCCTGAGCATATGGATATCCACCACCTTACTCGGGAGATTGAAGCCTCAGATATGTCTGCACTTGAAGCTGTTATCAGCTGTGATGAGGAAAGGATTAGATTGGAGAAAGAAGTTGAAAGATTAGCAGCTGAGGTTGTTTGTTCCACTTTTAATCATTTCAAACCTTCGCTTATTATCATTTATACAAAAATTAATGTTGAATTTGTTGCACTAATGCGTTGTGGATTTCTAATAATGCTTAGGATGGTGGCGGTGGAGAAGCGCTTGACAGAATCTATGAACGGCTAGAAGCAATGGATGCATCAACTGCTGAAAAACGGGCTGCTGAAATTCTTTTTGGGTTGGGTTTCAATAAGCAGATGCAAGCAAAGAAGACAAAGGACTTCTCTGGTGGTTGGCGTATGAGGATTGCATTAGCCCGAGCTTTATTTATGAACCCAACTATTCTTCTGCTCGATGAACCTACAAATCATCTCGGTGAACTCTACGAACTTAAATTTTACTTTATCTTCTACTTTCTGAAATGCTATGAGCGGATTGTCTTATTTTTACTTATTTGTGCTCAAGATGATTTCTTTTGTTAATTCTAAATATGTGTATTGAGTGATTTCTGATCAACAAGTAGTTCTTTTTAGAGTTTTTTTTTTCTATATTTATCATCCATAAGTTTATATTTAAGCATTTTGGCAACTTATTTTACTTGTTAGGTTTGTAAATGCTGATTTTGTTTTAGCAAATGCTGATTGTTTTTACCTTTATATTTCATGCCATGGGGATGGGCATAAACCTAGAGGCATGACCCCTAAGTCTCATAAATTTTTTTTTCTTTTAATATTTTAAAAATAAACAAAAATGTTTTAAGAGAAAAAATATGTAGAAATAGGTAAACTAAAATTTTAGGAGAAATTCAACAGAAATATATAGAAAATGTAATTGGTGAAATTTATAAGTATATTCTATACAGTCTCTAAATTCTAGGTAACATAGACACCTAAAGTAAAATAAATATGCAAAACAAGCAAACAAACCAATAATTATTCACACCTCTTTCCTCAAGCACCTTATACTTAAGGTCTGTAATTATCGCTAGACTAGGCCAAATTCCCATATCACATGCAATCATAAATACCAATTACATTAGACGACCAAATCAAAATCCTCGAGTTCTATTTATATCAAATACACAAGTCTTGAGCATCATGGTTATTCTCAGCCAAATGTAAATATTTAAGGCTCAACTATTATCAATGATAACTCATATGAAATACATGGACTTCATTTCCGAAGCACACTCACATTTTAACCAATCTTTGTGCTAGTAGTTTAAACACATTAAAGCCCCACCAATCTTCTAATCGGCCCACCGGTCTTCCCCCAAGTTTTAAGCCTTGCCCTTCTTGAAATTTAATCCCACCTGTCCTAGTGAACCAAATAATCATTAGAGTAGATTAAGTCAAAACTTAAATCCTTGTACCCAAGTCACTACCTCATGCAAACTACATTATAGTTCAGAGCTCGGGTCAACTCAAGGATCTTTGTTTGAGGCACCTTGTGGAAGCTTGAGTATGTTGTTTGTGTGATCATTACTCGCGGTACTGAGCTTTAACTGTGTTCGAACTTTTTGTGCATGGCTTTTTATATCCTTCATTTGTTCTGATTGAGTGCCACATGACATGTTATACTCTTGCTTATATATATTTTGGCACAACTTTGAGCAATGTTAATTTTGATCTGTCATATACTATTTGCTCTTATTTATTGGGCATTTTTTATCCTTGTAAGTGTAATTTCTGCAAACTTTGATTTAATAGATGCAACTCTCATCATCTCAATTATAATCATTTTTCACTATATTCTTTTTAATTTCATCATGCGTCCGTCTTGGCAAATCGTTTACTTTTCTATCACACTCAAATTGGTTGCTAAGGACTTCTTTTTTGCCTTCATTTATTGGTGATCCATATAACATGATTAATCTACTTGGAATTTATAAATTAACTTCAAATCTTTTTTAGGGTAATTCATCTTAACAATCAGTTTTTTTGTTATTACTACACGATAAAATTTATAACTGCATAGAATGCTATTAGGAGGATAAATATTATAAGATGTATAATCAATTTATTGATCCATAAAATTTACTTTTTTTCCCTTTATAATTAATTTTTTTTAGTTTTTTTTTTCTATTGGTGCTATATAAACTTTTATGTTGATTCACAAAGCTTAAGCTTTTTTCTTCGTTTCTTCTCCCCATCAGATCTGGAGGCATGCGTCTGGCTGGAGGAGACACTTAAGAATTTTGACCGCATTCTAGTTGTGGTGTCTCACTCACAGGATTTTCTCAATGGAGTTTGCACAAATATTATCCACATGCAGAACAAGAAACTGAAGATGTACACAGGCAACTTTGATCAGTACATACAAACCCGTGCAGAGCTCGAGGAAAATCAAATGAAACAATACAGGTGGGAACAGGATCAGATCTCTGCCATGAAGGAATACATTGCGCGCTTCGGCCATGGTTCTGCAAAGCTGGCCCGGCAAGCCCAAAGCAAGGAGAAAACATTGGCCAAAATGGAGCGCGGTGGACTCACAGAGAGAGTAGTTAAGGACAGGGTCCTCGTTTTCAACTTCACTGATGTGGGGAAGCTTCCCCCACCTGTACTACAGTTTGTGGAAGTCTCATTTGGATACACTCCTGACAATCTCATATACAAAAACCTAGATTTTGGCGTCGATCTTGATTCCAGGATTGCACTGGTGGGTCCAAATGGTGCAGGAAAGAGCACTCTGCTTAAACTAATGACCGGTGATCTGATTCCGGCGGACGGAATGGTCCGCCGCCACAACCACCTGAGGATTGCCCAGTTTCATCAGCATTTAGCAGAGAAGCTCGATTTAGAGATGTCAGCTCTCCAGTACATGATGAAGGAATATACTGGCAACGAAGAAGAGAAAATGCGAGCAGCGATCGGTCGATTTGGTCTAACCGGAAAGGCCCAGGTGATGCCGATGAAGAACCTTTCCGACGGCCAGAGGAGCCGGGTGATCTTCGCCTGGCTTGCTTGGAGACAGCCCCACATGCTGCTTCTTGATGAGCCAACCAACCATCTTGACATCGAGACCATCGATTCGCTGGCGGAGGCTTTGAATGCGTGGGATGGAGGAATGGTTCTTGTGAGTCATGACTTCAGGTTGATCAATCAGGTTGCAGAGGAAATATGGGTTTGTGAAAATCAGGCGGTGAGGCGGTGGGAGGGCGACATCATCGACTTCAAAAATCATTTGAAGAGCAAGGCTGGTTTGGCCGAGTAATTTAAAGGAGTAAACAAGCTGGAATATATTTTCAGGTAATAGCGTTCTATCTTTATCATACTTGTACTACTAATTATTCGTGCTACTGTTTCTACATTATATATATGAAACCGAATTATCAGAGTGTCATTATTCGTCTCTCGGATATTGCTTGGTTTGAGAAGGACTTGTAGAGCCTGGCTGAGCATGTTCCGATGGCTTTACTAGAATTTTGTATTCTTTAAATCCTAGTATTTATTATGGAGTACATGATTACTGGATATATATAATATATATATCATCAAATAGAATTGCACTCACAATATTAAGGAGAGTATCTTGTTTGATAATATTATCGTTGTATGAAATTAATTCGAAGGCTTACTTGATTGATTGCATAGTGTAAAAGTTTTCTTATTTGAAAATTTGCCAAAATCCTTATTGGTTGCATGGCAGATCTGTTGAATTGTTGTCGGATCAGCCAATTGGGTCTTGTTTGTTTTGGCGTTTTTAAAACCTTTTATGTTTAGAAACGGTGAAATTATTTTTTGGTCGTTGTTTGGATGTGACGTTTCTATAGAAATGCTTTTTGTAGAATTTTATTTTTCTATTATTTTAAGAAGTTTTTTGATATTTATTTCTCCGTTAGAAAATTCCATTCCTTTTATTTAATATTTCTAAAACTATTTTTTATAAAATGAGAGGAAGGAAGAATCAAACGAAGCTTTAGGCCTTGTTTGATTGGGCGTTTTTTGTGCTTATTCCTTTTTAAAACGGAAAAGTTATTTCTTCTTTATTTTTTGGTTCCTCCAACCACGTTCCCAATAACACCATTATTTTCATGTTTCTGTTGTTTTGAGAAAGCTTTTGATATGTACTTTTTATGTTAGAAAACTCAATTTTTTAAATCAATGTTTCTTAAAACTGTCTTTTGCAAAAGTACTGAATAACCAAACGGAGCCTTAGGATGATCTGTTGAACATTCCTGCTTCTTGTTTGATGTCAAACCATAGCTGGAGAAGTTCAAAGAGGTTGCAACTGTGGCTCCTAAATGCTCATTCTTTTACTTTTCCATGCTCTTCCTCAGTAGACTTTTTCTCCCTTGTTTTTTGCAACCAACTCTAAACATAAAGAGAAAAGTCCATAACTACTATGCTTGCCATATCAAAGCAGTTGGCCACAGGAAGAAGCACATGACGCAGTTGTAAGAATTTTAAAATTTGAAGTAGCAGAGGCAGAAAAGCATGATTTGTTAAACTGCCAAGTCTCGTCAAAATAAACTACCGAGTCCCTTAAATCCGTTCTTAGCCGTATCGTGCAAGTTAAACAACTATTACCCAAATGATTGCTAAGTCATGTTAAATAAAAAGATGCTCAAATGCTCATAAATATCAAATGTTCAAAGAGATCAATATTTTTTGTTCCATTGTTTGAGATTTTGATAAAAAATAAGCAAAATGTCATTATAAAAGATTTAGATTTCTAAGATATGAATAATCCAAAGATTTGTTGATAGATCAAGTTGTTGCCCATTGCCCCTTGATTCATGCAATATAATTATTGTCGACCATCATCTATGACTAATGGCTCCCTCCAACATTTGATTGCCGCATTCAACCATCAACTGACATCATCGTCTGCTCTCACACAACCACAAGCACCCACAATCAATCGACACGGACATATGTTGTTACCCGATTATCAAGAACTAATGCCGATACTTATCGTCATTTATCAGTTTTTTTATATTTATCTACTCTTATAAAAGACCAAAAAATACTAATCTAGACGTTGTAATCCAACATTCTTTACTTTAAAGAATTGCAAAATTTTTTATCATTCACATTACTTAGTAGGTTATTCTCGTTAGGTTAGGCCACCTAAATTTTTACTTAATTTCTCACACAAATGCCTCTTTGGAACTTCAAAACTCTTTTTTTATTTATAAGCAAAACTTCAGTTTGACGCTTTAAATCTCCTATTGCCACAAAATTTTCTAACAATGATAACAATATAATCAATCACTTGCATATCAATAACGAATTAATTAATTATGTTAATGCAAAAATTAGAATGCTTAATAAAAGATTCACATAAATTAAAATAAGATAAGATTATTGTTAGTTCTTTGTGGAGTCTGATTGTGCTGATCGATCATGTTGTACTAAGAGTTAGCTCTCAATTTTTTAGTTGTTCACATAAATTTTAATATTCTTTTTCGTTGTTTACACCTTATTTATTTCAATTTGTTTACCCCTAACAATTATCAGTGATTAAAATGATAGACGAATACATTATAGCAAGTCTACACAAATCCATAATAAGCTGATATTTATATCAAGAATATATTCATCATATTTTCAACACATCTTGCAGGTTATAACTTACCCAAGATTGGTTAAGCAAAAAATTAACTAATATGGTCATAATTAATCCTAACATTTACCATGATAAATTTCTCAATGATTGCTAAAATCAAGTGGAACAATTTGCCATTATTTCATATATCATGTCCTATTACCATCATGAACAGTAAGGTTTACTCTATTGGCCCAAGTAATTGTACACCTCCTCCCAACAATTGGACATATTTGCCCTCGCAATGGGGAAATTATTGGGTTCGGACACCGGACACAACACGTTCTGTACTTCACAGTACCGAGCAGTACTGAGCTCGGTACTGTGAAGTATTGAGTGCCGAGTAGTATTGAGCTCGGTGCTGAACAGTACCGAGCTTGGTACTGCTCAATACCGAGCTCAGTACCGAGTAGGAGTTGATGTGGCACATTTTCATTGGCTCCGGTTGTCGTCCGGTGTCCAGACCTAATAATTTCCCCTCACAATGTGGCTTTTGTTAGCCAATAGAGTTCACTAAGCCTTAACCAACACACGGGATTTTCATATAAATCATAGAATTATTATATATTTATATATCTAATATATTTTAATGGCTCAATTACATCAATAGATATACATTAAAAAATAAATTTCACCTTTAAAAAATCAATATTAATAATATTTTGATGTAATTTAAAATTTAATATACTATATAAATAAATATAAAAATTTACTTGTTAAAAATATAATTATTTAAAGACTCCTAAGAATATTTTGAAGAACAAAAAATCAGAATTTATTTAATTATTAAAGGCAAAATATAAGGTATGAAATGAGCACCATGAAAAGGTTGGTGTAGCTCCAATGGAAGATAAGATTAGAGAGAATCGCATTAGATAGTTTGGTCACATAAAACGGCGGTCTTACAATAACCCGGTTAGGAAAATAGATGTATTAAATTTGACTTATGTTAAGAAAGGTAGAGGTAGACCTAAAAAGACTTGGTTAGAGAATATTAGAAATGATATTTCCTTATTAGATTTAAACAAGAGTTTGACTTTTAAGCGTACACAATGAAGAAAAAAAATTCATGTAGCCAACCCCACTTAGTGGTACAAAGGCTTGATGTCGTATTAAAGGAAAAATATAGTCAGCCATACCAACTGAAAGGAAAATAGAAGATTCAAATTGATATATGTAGATGAATCTATAATATGAACATTTGCATGAAAGTGAAATGTTAAAAGCAGGATTTTTACAAGCATTGCAAGCAAATCAGGAAGAAAGAAAACAAATCTGATTGCACTGCAAATTACTTCATAAAAATTGCTGGAGTTGATTGCAAAAGAGACTTATGCGCACTCATTCTTAAATAATGTTTAATGATATAGAGATTACAATGCATCATAAATACCTGCTGAGGGTTTTGTATAGATTTATCCAGAGAAAGTGTGCATTTACAACATAAAAGCTTTTTATCAGCTCATAAATGTTCTCCATAATGCACATAAATCATTCTTATCTTACTGTGTCACGCCTGAACTAAAACTGAAGTGTGATGGTCATAATTCAAAACTAAGTACCTCGGTGAATAAGCTCCAGAAGGCTTCCTGCTTTCCTTTTAGCTCTATCTGTCCCAGTTTCTAAGAGTTCTTTTAAAGCTTCTTCTGCGCCAACTTCTCTTGCAATTTTCACTTGCTGCACATCCCCAGCGCAGAGTGAATACAGCACTGCAGCTGAATTCTCCCTGTTCCTAGGGGTCCCAATTCTCATCACTTCCACCAAAATCGGAATTGGAGTGGCTTCTGCAATTGCCAGTCTCCCTTCATGATGGCTTGCCAGTATTGCCATTATAGCCAGGGCTTCATCTAACATCCCGCCACTTGGATCGGTCAAAAGTCGCAGAAGATGGATTACGATGCCGGCCTTGACAGCTCTCACTTTGTTACCCTGATAGATAGAGAGGTTGAAGATAGCTGTGGCAGCATCTTTCTTGCCTCTTGGGCTTCCTTGGCACAGGAGATCAATAAGTGCAGGAATGGCTCCAGCAGCCCCAATTGTTATCTTATTGGCATCAATTACAGATAAGCTGAAAAGTGTAGCAGCAGCGTTTTCTCTTGCTTCCATGCTCCCATTCTTAAGCACTTCTACTATTTTTGGGATTGCCTGAGCAGCGACAATGCTACTTTTGTTGCTCTCATTAATAGAAAGGTTGAGGAGAGCAGTTACTGCATGCTCCTGTGTCCTCGGATCAGGTGATTGGAGGAGTTCTACAAGCAAGGGGATTGCACCTGCTTCAGCAATACATACTCTGTTGTCTGCATTCCTTTTTGCTAGCAATCGAAGCTCACCAGCAGCTGCTCTCTGTACTTCTTGGTTGGTACTTAGTAATTTCTCTAGTAGTGCACTGATACCAGCTCGATCACAGTCAGAATGATTCACTGACTTTTTGTCGCGGCCATTGCCATTCCTTCTAGGAGGCTCAAGTCCATTAGCCTCACACCACTGTGCTATCAGGCTCTTTAAGACAAAATTTGGGGTGAGAGCAGTGTGGGAAAGATTCTGTTGTGTCTTTGGACAGGTTTTGTGTCCTGCATCTAGCCATTTCTGAATGCAAGCTCTCTCATATGTCTGCAAGAAAAATGACTATCACATCAGTGTTATCTAAGTCAAGAAGAATAATGTTGAAGTTAGTGTGGTGTATTACTTGCCCAGTAGAGACAATGACAGGGTCCTTCATCAGTTCAAGAGATATAGGGCAACGAAAATCATCAGGGATGACAGGAGATCTATGTTTCACTAGGCTTCTTTTATTTTCAAGGTTTTCTTGAACTGGGTTCTCAATGATTCCAGAGTCTTTAAGCTTTTTGAGCAAGGTTGACATCTCTTCCAAGCAGTCGTCGGGATCTCCGCCGCAAGAAATGACCATTTCATTTAAAGCAGCAGCTTCTTTCGTGAGGTCATTGATGGTTCTGAGTTGAAGTTTCTCAGAAAGCCTCTGAAGTACAGCTTGATCACAGAAGTCTCCACTACGTACCAAAGAAAAATCCCTAAGAAGTTGAGAATCAGGCAAATCCATCTTTTCTTTTGCCCTTCGAAACTGCACATGCACAAGCTCAATCTGAAAATTCAAAGGAACACATCAGTTATTTTAGATTACAAATGTCAAGTATGCAAGAAAGAAAGTAAATCTTTTTGCACATTTTGAGATACTAGAAACGAGGACATTATGGGAAGGGAATATATTTTAAATTCATTAAAATCATCAATGGTGTCCACCACATACTAATTTCATAAAAATTCAAATCAAGTTTATATTTTTTTCTTGTTTTTTAATTGAGTTTTCAAAGATCAGTCAAGCATATTGCTTAGTGCAACGTTATATTCATCATATCCGCAAACATTGTGCAAATAACAGTACAAGTAAAATACTGTGATATCAAGAACAAAATGGGACCTGAAACATAATTTAATACAAAAAAGCAGTTGAGAACACCAGGAACAGTGCAGCAGCCAACTGGTGCGTATTTGAATTTTTGCTTAGAAATTTAGACAGTTGAAATGGGTCCAAAACTCCAAAGATATAAAAAAATCTAAAAAACAAGACAAATCTCTGTATCTGTTGAATTTCTTTCAGGGAAAGTCGGGCACATTCGTTCAGTCCCATTTATTCACACCATCTTCCTGTTTTATACACTTAAAAGGTCAAGAATGCCATTCTTTAACTTAAAAATGACTTTTCATTATACTTATATATTATATGCTTTAGTTTACGTAATTTTAAAAGGAAGGGAAAGTAGCCTCTGGTTAATAAACTTTTTTAACTAATACATACGACATTTCCATATACATCCTTCCAAATCAAGATGCTAAACACTGTTGTCCTTGTAAAAATATGCACAACTGTAAGCATAGAAGCATAAAATTTCAAGCCACATGGTTTAATCCAAAATTAACTCTCCTCGTAGGTTGGATATAAGTTTCATAGTGCTGTTGCACACAGCTGATCATATTACAATGTAATTATCCTACAAAGAGAATAAGCTATCAATTTTAAAGATGTTGTAATATTTGTGATGTAGAATAAAAAGTCTGGTAAGAATAAGATATTTAAAGGCATGAATTAAATTTATCAGTTTAGTAAGATTTTAGAGCACTTTTTAAGTGGAATCATTATCATACAATGAGTTTATCATCATAAGTATAAATCAAATGATGCATATTATCCCCATTATCCATTATGAAAAGAATATAATAATCAATTTATAGAAAGTTTTCTAATTTGAAAATAGCTAAGTTGCTGCCATCATCATGAGAAATTGATTACCATTATGATTATCACTTAAATTTGAGAAAATTTTAAAATTCAATTTCATAATGCAAATAGGAAAAAAAAAATACTTTCCTTATAAAAGGATTTTTCCATCAGCATCTTCAATTAAGGGTGGAGTACACAAGGAATATATTGATTATCATAAATATAATTATTAGGATTTATTCTCTTTCGAATGAGTGACAGCCGAAAATTTAAGCAAAGCATAGGGCATCCTCCCTCTTTCTCCATTTTGCATTAAAATACATGAAAAGAAGATTTGTATGCTTATAATCAAAGATTTTTTTTCAATTAAGCAAGGGAGCCATCAACTATGCAATCATGTCATGAAGATTTTGAAACTTCTTTTTCCCTCTATGAAATTATGTAATAATATATATTTTAGTGCTTATAAATTTGAGTTGAGTTGTACTAGAAAATTATATTAGGTTGAAAATAATAGGAGATGCTTGTATGTAATGAAAGTTGTAGCTTGATGGCTTCCTCCTATTAAAATTATTTAGTGAGTGCTCTTCAAAATTATCTTTATAGAAAAATACCATCATCTTATTAATTTATATCATCTATATATTATCATGGGTAGCTCATCATTCATATACATCTGTTTGTCCAATTATTTTCTACACTTGATTAATATCTGTGACATCTATGTGATCATGATCTAAAAAAATTAAAAAGTTTGAACTGTAAAGTAATTCAAAGTAGAACATAATCGTTACTAACAACTAAAGTGATGAATTTTTTTTTTTTGTCCAATGGTTGAAAAACTCTAATTTCCCAGTACCTGTTCTTGCACCTCTTCAGGAATATCAAACTTATCATAGGATAATCTGCTTAAAGCCCTCTCTATTTGTTCTGTGACCTCCTGAAAGTTTTTTGCATACTTGTCCCCTTGCAAAACCTGAAAAAGGATTAGCATATAAAAGGTGGAAGATGCAAACAAAAAGTAAGTCAGTTTGTGCTTGATGAAAGACGCAGCACTAATTAATATTTAAAACAGTAAATGAGCATTATTATTTATTTGCAGAAAGCAGTAAAGCACAGCAAGAAGGAAATTACTCAGACAAACAGTTAGCTGTCAGATTAACGAATTCGTTTAGGGCTATGTAGATCTTATCTTAAGCTGATGAAACCTTGGCTAAGGTTTCGTTTGGGACAGCTTTCAAACTGCTTTCTAAAACGGTTTTTCAGTATAAAATTTTCTAATTCAAGAAATTTTTATACTAGTAAGCTGTTTTAGATAGCAACAAAAAAGCAGTCCCAAACGAAGCCTAAGTTTGAATCAACGATTATGGAGATGCATAAAATTAATGTTTTAAGACATGATAAAGGAATCATCTTCCTTGATTCAAGAAAAGGCATTCAATATGAATATTAGAATCCATGGTACAATATTTGAAAAATTTGCTAACAAATATCATGTAAATCACATTGCTTAATAGCTAATTCACCACCCTTTCCATTTTAATTATTTCAACATATCTGAAATAAGAGTATGATCATCTAGGTGCCACGTCCGATGAAATACATGCCAAAGGTTTCAGATCAATTTATTCTTTTAAAACCCATATTGCACAACTTTCTCCCCAGTTATTTACCAGTTGACTTCTACCAAAGCCATCAGTTTACAGAATACTGAATAGATCAAACTGAGTTTTGATAATCACCATCATCTGTAAGTAACTATCGAACAAAATCTTCAAACCAAAACAAAAATAAATTAGATATAGTATGCTTCAGTAGATCATACTCTGCTATATTTTCAAGCGGACATGCCATCAAACAATAATAATAAATCCAACTTAATCATTGTATACGATTAAAACCCAGAAGGCCCGGCAGATCTGTTTCAGACAACAAGGAAACTTATACCTGATAGAGCTTGCTTCCCTCGTTGACCGAGCGTAGAAGATCCTTGGCAGCAACCAAAGCGTCAAGTAGCTCGCAGAGGGCTCGGGACTCGTTCTCCCTAATGAGCTCTTCCTCAGTGCTATCCTTGAGCTCGTCGAAGAAAGGGCTCAGGAGCTTCATCCGCCGCGCGAGATCGTAGTAAGCCCTGCGAAATGGTCCCCGGCACTCCTGCATCGCAGATATTTCTCCCAATACAGCTGAAAGCGCTCCGACAACAGCTAAATTCCTTCCTTCCGGCTCCTCCTCCTCTGCCGTAGACCCCATTCCCGCGCAGATCAGAAAGCAGTGAAATCTGAACGAGGATATAATAAACGGACTGGATTTCCAGGAGAATTAGGAGGCCTTGCTAAAATTGGGTTTTTCGAGATGCGAAGAGGAAGGAAAGATGCGGAGAAGACAAAGGAAAGATGCGGAACGTTGAAGGAGAAACAGTCGGAAGGACAAGCAAAGGCCAGAGGAAAGTCGAAAATTGGAAAACAGCTGCCGCTGATCATTAATAAATTTACTACAATTTTTTTTTTACTCAAATGTAAATAAACATAAGTGTGAAAGGCTGAACAATGCATGCATATAGAAGGCTGAATTGGGTAGACACAATATGGATATATAAGACTATACAAGACTATAAAGCATGAATATAGGGATGCATAGAACTAATGTTTTGAGTCAACGAGAAAATAATATCAATATTAAATTTTGTGGTCATAGGGATACCTAATTTGATAAGGGGCAAATAAACGAGAAGTTGTATAGTAAGAATATGAATGATATTCACCTAGTTAAAAATATTGCATTTCATATCATGACAAAGTGTATCCAGTTTCGATATCATTTCATCAGTTTGCTTCTAGAAAATGTTTAGTTATCTTTGGAGAAGAAACATACGACCCAGAATCATACAGACGTGCTGACGAAGATGGTGAGAGTTGATAAACTGAAGCTATGCACAACTTTAGTTGGTTTTCATGGAGGAAAAAAGCAGGGGGGCAGGTATACTACAAGTGCTATGATTGGTGTTGCATACCGGGAGAATAATTGATCTCAATCAACTCCAAGTGGGAGATTGTTGGTCTATGTGGAATTTGATCTGTTGATCAATCGGATTGTTCTATTACTTTTCAATTTGTTGTGCTCGTTGGGGGGGGGGGGCCTCCCCCAGGAAATTTTTTTTTCAAACAAATTTTGTTTTCAAACAACATCCAGCATCGTATAACCAAGCACTCCGATGTTATATACTCGAGCGCCCTAACATTTAAAAGAGTTAGAATATTTTAATATCTATTGATTAAAATAAATCATAAATTCTATTAAATTAATATTATGTATAACTTAATTGTGTATATACATATAGTTGGTATATTTCCACATAGTTTTTAGTTTATTATAAAAAATAATTATAATTTTATTAAAATTTAACTTTATTTCTATGTTATAATCTTTCATTAGAATAAATTCGTTCATAAATAAGAGATGTTTATTCAAGTTTATTGGATTATTTTTATTTAAAGTGTTCATGAATAAGCTTATTTATAAGAATAATTATTTCATAAGCTCATTTGTTTGTGAACATACTTATTCGGTAGCTCGAAATACTCGTTAAATATGTTTGTGAACATGCATTACAAGAAAGTTACCTTTTTGGGCGGTCAAATTTGATGCAAAATAAGAAAAATTTGCTGCAAAATACGATTTGTAAAAAAGTGGCATCGTAAAATTATTTGCAGTGGAAAAAATCAGCGGAAAATATCTTCGGCGGACTTACGAATTTGCGGTTGAATTTCAACAAAAAAAACCACAAATTTTATCCAGCAAGACGAGTTTCCTCTTGCCCGCGCCTGACCACAATGCCTGTGCTTGACCGGCTGCCCGCACTTGATCGGCATGCTCGCGCCATCTCCAACCTGACCGGCTTGCTAGATTTGAACCCTATTCCACTCGTCAAATACCATTTCTCCTCTCCACTCGGCCGTGAACACAAAGCAACATAAAAAGCTTTTATTTATTTGTTTATATTATAGCTTAGGTTGCATGGATTTGCGGCACAATTCCGCCTAAAAAAATAGTTAAAAATTTCCATCGTCATTTTCGATAAAAAATAATCTGACGTACGTAAAGTCCATGCTCAAATCCGCCGCAAACTGCCAACTTTCCTGTAGTGATGCTTTGTAGTAATTATATGTTGGCAGGATCGATAAAACTTTTTTTGTTAAGTTATTGAATATCTAGAATATAAAGCCTGTTAATAGCTTGATAATACTCATTTGTTTATATCTCGACAAGCATAAAATGAATCAAAGACAAATCAAACATGAACATTTATCATTTTTTAACAAACCAAACTTGAACACAAATATAAATGTTCAAATCGATCTCGTACTAAGCTTGAACTACAAACACACAAATACATGGCATAACAAATACCTAGTCAGCTCGTCTTGGTTCGTTTGCAACCCTATCTTTGTTGTATGTTCCTTTATAATTAAGAAAAAAAAAAACTGCATAGATATTTTGGGCATTTAATAATTGTTTACATGCCAACTACTTGGGTGTCATGGATGAAAAAAAGCCATGTCTCCAAAAAATTATTGATCAAATGGCTAATATCTATTAATTTTATTATATAGTACATCTAAATGCTAAACTAATCATCAAATATAAAGTATAAATTATTAGTACAACTCAGCAGATATGCATACGCTTCTATTATTGTTTAAATAATAGTAGTGAGGCACATCCAACATTTTATAAAGATTTTATTTGAGATGGTTATCTTATTGGTTCTTAAAGCATCTTTTTAGTACAAAAAAAAATATTTTTTGGACTAAAAAATTGCTTTAAGAAACAGTTAGAAAACTGTCCCAAACGAAACCAAAGTCTCAGACTACAAGCAAAGCAAAGATTCCATTGAAAAAGTTTGGAAATGCCTCAATGAGGACATCTCCAACCGAAATTCTCATTTTTCACTGCAAAATGCAGTAAAATCAATAAGTGCCATGATTCATCTCCAGTGGAAGGCCATTTTGCCCCCAAATCATCGCTCGTTTCTTTCGCGTCTTTCTCAAACGAGTTCGGTAGAGAGAAAGAAATGGCGCAAGTGAACAGTGCGACGCCAATATTGGCGTTGCACTGTTCAACTGAGATCAAATGGCGGAAAAAAAAGGCGTTCGGTTGCGACGTTTGAGGGCCTCCATTCGGCTGTTTGCCGAACGGTTGGAGATGGTCTAAGAAAGAGAGACGCTCTTGGCACCGACTAAGCTTTCGTTTGTGATTTTTTTTTATTGTTTTCTAAAATGACTTTTTAGTATAAAAAATTCTTGAATAAGAAGTTTTTATACTAAAAAATTGCTTTTGAAAGAAATTAAAAAGTTGTCTCAAATGAAACCTAAATTAATGTTACATTTAGAAAAACTTCTTTCATGTAAATTTATAAGAACACAAAGCATGCATTTTGTGGTATTTTTGTTGTGAAATATGTGTAGCATTTTATTGTATTTTTACGAGACTTATTGACAATTACTTCCAAATGAAAACTTCTTATCAATTAGATTAAAAAAGAAATAAAAACTTCTTATCAATTACACCGATCTATAGAAAAAAAACAAAACAACTATCTTGGAGACGATGGGGGATAAGCTTCATCGTCGAGAAGGAATCAGTCCGGATCACCAGCTAAGGCCCCTAAATGACTGCTCAGTGATAAAGGAGGTAGGGGTACAGAGACAACCAGGAGGTTTTCCTAGAAGCAGCCACCCTTGAAAGAGTGCATAATAGCTCACTTATCGAGCGCTCTTTGCGCCGAAGATGAACGGGGCTAAGCGATCTGCCGAAGCTGTGGGATGTAAAAATGCATCGGTAGGGGAGCGTTCCGCCTTAGAGGGAAGCACCCGCGCAAGCAGGTGTGGACGAAGCGGAAGCGAGAATGTCGGCTTGAGTAACGCAAACATTGGTGAGAATCCAATGCCCCGAAAACCTAAGGGTTCAAGAACTGTGTTTCATCAAAATGATACTTCTCAAACTAAGCTGGTTCATATTGGTCACAATAGCTGACTATATAAGATCAATCAGATCTTTGAAGTTAATCTTTGTTAGAACTATCAATTATTTTCTCCATTTTTCGCTAAGAAATCAAATAATTTGGTCATTTTTTTACTATTTTTTTCATATAATACAAGAATATTGGTAGTTGATTCATCTTTAAAGTTTTGCACCTTTATTTTTAATTTAAATTTTTTTATTTACTATTGATCTGATCAACTTGTTTGAATATATTTCTTTGATCCATTATCTGATTTTGTGTTTATCTCCATCAAAAGGATCTCAATTTTTGCTCAAATTGAATTTAAAACATATGAATTATTATATAAGCAATTAGATCACATGTTTATAACATATTCAAATATTTAAAATTACTTATAACTAGTGAAGTTGGATTAAACTATATTGTCTCATTTAAGTTTGCAATCACATCCTTTTTAGGTGTGTTGCGTGATGGAATATTCACAGGTAGAAAAATATAAAATTTAACATCTTAGCCTTATATGAAAATCTAACAATAGATAAGAGTGAAGAGTTTTTATGTTGAAACCACTAAAAAGAAAAAAAAAATCAGTTTGAATGAATTAACTAGTTTTGATGGTTGATTATAAATTATACCTCTTATCAAGCTCCTTGAAGAAGGGTGCTGGCTCAATGTAGCAAATGTCATGTATAGAGTGCATTACATGACAACAATTTTAAAAGTGTTGGCATATTTATTCGGTCAATAGGATCGTAGTCAGCGGGTGACAGTGTTTGAAAAGATTGTAGTCGGTGAACAACTATAGTAAAAAAGTCCGTAGTAGGCTGACGACAAAATTTGGGAGGAGATCTGGCATTGGTAGCATTCAGAAAGAGTTCTGAGGATAATCGGAGAACGGACAAATGTCCAACTGCGATCGATGGTCTGGAAGAACGATGATGCTGGCAACATTGGATGGAGATTGCAATAGAACCCTCAAACTTTAAGCATCTTGAGAGTGCTCCATAAGACGATATGCTATTTTTAAGGAACAATATTTATATATGTAATATTAAAAATTTAAATTATATTTAAAATATTAGTAATATTACTTTTTTTAAATAAAAAATATAAATTTAAGTATATATTTTATAGGGAGATTTATATACATATAATTATATACTATTCTATTTACATATATTTAACATCTAAAACTTTAATATTACATACATATCACCCATAGTTCATTTTCATATCAAATATGAATGATAGATATGAAATATATGAGTGGTAGGAAGGAAATATGAGTGATATATTTAATATTAAAAATATTATAAGGTGATATGTATGTAATATTAAAGTTTTTAATATTAAATATATAAATAGGATGATATAAAGTGGCATGTAAATTTCCTATTTTATAATATTATACGACTAAATATAAAAGTTTAGATGTGATGATAATGTAAATATGATTTTAAAGCGTGTACAGGGTCGTTTCAGGTGAGTGAGGACTGGTTGCTGACGGCAAGCGGTGAAGCGGAGCTTATCACCCAGAACCAGGGGGAAAAGCCGCGGGATTTCCTTCTTAGCTTCAAAGGAAATGGAGTGCGCTTTGGTTGTCTCGTTATCAAGTCCCTTCTTTCCTAGAACAGGTAAAGAAGCCCTAATTTGGTTTGTAATATCTATACAAAATCTTAAATTTTTTTGCCTATGATGACAAACTGAAGGCTTGAAAGAAAAATTATTATTATTTCAAGAGTATTCTTAAATTTTCTTGCGAATGACTTTTCTATGGCCTTGCGTTTTTTTTTTGAATCCACGCTTATGGCTTTCGTGTGGTCGGCTTCGGCTTTTTAATAGCTGTGTAGCCTACCCCAATCCTTTGGACGATACATTGATTTGGCATTCTTTGGTTTGACCGGGTTAGGCTGACATATACATCCACAGTGACCAGGAAATCGCTCTATTTGCACATTTTATAAACGTTTGATGACCTTCAGCTCTCAACCATGATGTCCTTTAATGAACTGGGTTTCTTTGCTGAAAAAGAGTCTCCTGAGGATTTCATTGTAAATTTTTCATTGATATAATGTTGGAGGGATGAGCTTTTAGGTTTATGAATGTGCAGAAGGAAAATGTTGAGAATTGCATCTCCTTTGCCCTTTTTAAGCTCTGAAATTACATAGGAGGCTTAGGGCATCTCCAACCGAAAACCCATTTTTCACTCCAAAATGCAATAAAACTTCAAAATGCAGTGATTCATCTCCAATGAAACTCCATTTCTTTCTCCTCTTTCACGCGGTTCTTCATCTCGCTGGGAAGGTAATCATCTTTCCACTCTTTCGCGCACTTCTTCAGAAAATCCTGTAACGCAAAAAATTGGCGTAGGTGAACAGTGCGGTGCCAATATTGACGTATTGGATTTTGGTGTGCGATTTGAAAGTTCGTTAAGGATATTAGGTTCTTATGAACTAGCCCAAAGCTAATCAAGAGGGGGGTGAATTAATATTTTAAAAATTCTTTAAATCAAAATCAACAAACCAAAGTTCACCACAACGAAAATAAAGAGTGTGAAAATTAATGCGGAAAAACAGTAGTAAAGGAACACAGAAATTTATAGTGGTTCGATCAACTCGACCTACGTCCACTCTCCGAAGGCGCCCTCCGAGTATTACACTAAACTCAATGACTCTCTTTTTGCTCCCACAGCAAGGCGGAGAAACCTTTACAAAACACATTTTCCACCAACACTGGTGAGGCAGAGAACCCGACTCCTTTTGCTTCCTCCTGAAGCAGGCAGAGAACCTTGATCGATTGTTGAAGCTTACCTCTCTCAACCCTCCAAGGACAAAGGACGAGGATCAGAGAAGACGACTTGGAACCTTGTTTGGAGTAACCATTGTGAATCCTCTCACAAACTCCTCCTTACAAGTTCCTCTCTCTCGCTCCCTCTCTCTCCCTCTACTCTAGGCTCTCTCAGGTCAAGACAACAGGAAAAGATCTCCTCTAAGGTAAAGCAAGAGATCTTAAATAGAAGAGCTTCGGAATAGCTCTTATTTTATACAAACCGACTTTATCGTCATTCAGCCTGGCCGACCAGCATAAATTTCGCTCAATCAGCCCGGTCGGTTTGGGACGATTAGACAATTTTTGGTAATGTCGTCCAGACCGATATGATATCGTCTTGGACGATTAGTTTAAATCCGAGGAAAATTGTCTTGAACATCGCCCTGAATAGAGGTTGGCCAATGTCAATCGTCCACGACATCGTCCCGGCCGATGTGTCGTGCAATCAGCCTTAATTGTTTTCCTTAATCACCTGATCAATTTAGGCATAATTGTGCTTCATTGTCCAGGCTGATGTCCTGGACGATGTCCAAAAATAACTAATGCCTAAATAGTTATGGCAGCTGATTCTTTCTGATTTGAGCATATTGCCCCAGCCTATACATTATCGTCCAGGCCGATCGGCTTAATGACGGCTGCCTTAATCATGATGCCCTGATTAGGGTTTCTATTTTTGAACCGATCGTCTAAGTTGATATAAATATCGTCCCGGACGATGTTACCAAAAACAATAAACTCTAAGAAACAGACAAAAATTATCCCAAGGTGTGTGTGTGCAAGGTTACTAAGCATCAGGAGCCACACCAATTACAATAGACTCAAGAAAGTAAAAAGTGTACAAAGTGACTCAGACCTAGTCTATCCAATCTTGAGCTGGTTCCAATTGCTGTCTGATCTTGTGGACCTGAAATATCAGTAGGCAAGACAGTCGTAGAGAAACAAGAGTGTTTGCTATCATCAGAATCATAATCCATAAAATAGATTCGCAACACGATTTAGAGTTTGAATGGAGTGAATGGCGGACAACATACCACTGTATGCAATTCGGTTGGAGATGATTTTATCAATCTTGATTGTAAATGTTTTATATGGATAGATTTGCTAAATACCTAAAGAACAAAGTTTCCTTTGATCCACAATTCACTTCTAATCATAAACACTCAATACAGGATGCCCAAGCGTTCAAGATTTGTAACTACAATCTAGGATAAGATACAAAATAAAAACTCACAAAAAAACCATAATTTGCAGGTTATAATGCTCAACTTTAGCAAAAATTAGCCCTTTTACTATAAAAACAACAAACACATTTCTTTCATTCCAAACAATAATGGAAGGGTTTCCAAGATTTGAAATCTTACAAGAAATATAATGATCATACATAAAATTTTTGCAATGACTAAAATTTATTGTAAAAGGAAATTCAACATGTATCATTCTAGATATTAAACAAATTAATATCAACAAGAATGCTAGAAATCATCCATTAGAAGATCCAAGCCTAATGCTAGCAAAAAGAGATTTTCTCCTAGAAGGGCCCATAAAAAATTGTGAAGCACTCAAATAATCCACATAAAAAAACACACAATAATTGATGAAAACCTATGATCACAAACATGGACATGGTGACACGGATACGAAACATGTAAATTATTGTAAATATAGGACACGGACACGGGTTGAATATGATATTATAATATTATATTTTTAAAATAGTGTATAAAAATTGAATAAGTATAATATTAAAAATAACTTAGAAATAATAAGTCATTTAACTAGAATTTGTACTTAAAATGATTAATATTAGGATGTTGAGAGTCGGCTATTGATGTCGTGTATCGGGTATCAAGAGAGGAGATTATTTGGAAATGTCAATGTTTTAATGACCTCAGACTTCAATGTTGAGATGACATCGGGCATTGTTGTGTAACCAAAGTAGCGACCCGTCAAAGAGAAATGAAAATGAGAATATTTGATGAATTGGGGTATTGAGTGCAGGTGATTGATTCGGCATTGTGAATAAGAAATAAGAAATTTAATTTTTATATTTTAGATAAATAAAAATTTTAAATACAATAAATTATATTTTAAAAAAAATTATAAAATTTTTAATACACGTGTCAGACATGCGTGTCTAATTTATATTTAATACTTGTTTAATCATACACGTTTTTGGCCTATATGACACGTTGATGGAGGCGTGTTGGATGCATGTCATGTCGGAGGTGTGTCAAACGCGTGTCATGTCGGATAATGTATGTCTTTTTGAGGAAAAGTGTCGGCGCATCATAGATGAAAACTATAGTTTTATTTCACTACTCAATGCAATAAGTTTTACATGCTTCAAGGGTCATATATATAGCCCAACGAAGGACTCTAAATAAGAAACTCTCCATAATCCTCTTAGACCTGAATGAAAATTGTAAGTTCCAATTCTTCCAACATCAAATGGTATAAATCAACCATTTACCAAATATGGTCACTGCATATTTCATCAAATGGAAGGCCAAAGATGTGGCAATCTCATTGTATGCAAGTCCTGCAGGCAATCCCTATATAAGGAAAACCTTGGTCAACATAGAAAGAAATAATGTATTGGAATCTATATGAGGAAGCTTAATTGACTGAAACTACTGGAATTAGCAATCTCCTTCTATGGCTCTGCTATTATAGTATTTAGATATTTCATTAGCAGCTTTTGATACTATTAGCCATTTGCGCCAATAAGCATAACTGAATGAAACTACTCGAAGGAAAGCATATAAGGAAAACACAAGAATGAGAACTGCATATGGACAAAAACTCAGTTTATTTTGCTAGGAAATCAAATAACAAGAAGCAAGATACAATAGATCCTCTTTCGAGAGGAGTCTTCTCTCCCAAACCTTAGACGCCGCTAGGATCCCTCACACAAGAAAACTACAGCACACAAATACAAAATTCTGCATAAGAAATCAAATAAACCCTAACTTTAAACTTTAATGAGCTTCCTCCTTCCCTCCTAAATCAGCCCTCCTTCCGAAAGTGTTTCCCTCATGTATTTGAAATTCAATTAGGAAATGATTTCCTAATTGATTCCCTACCAACATAATATTTTAATTCCCTATTGGGCCCCACCTCATCAACTGACTCCCTAGGCCTATTCGTCGGCCCCACTTGGGCAGAAGTCTGCTGGATCAGGCGGTCCAGTGGCTCCCGAGTCCGCTTTGTGTGGACCCCCGCTGCTTCTTCCACTATCACGTAGGGACCAAAATATCGAGGGGATAACTTATCAATTTTTCTATGTGCTAGGGTTTTCTGTCTGTAGGGACGAAGCTTTAAAAAATCTTTTCCCCTACCTCAAACTGAATGTTAGACCTGTGTGCATTTGCCCTCTTTTTCATAATTTGTAAAGCTCTCAATAAATATCCCTTCAGCTCCCCCAAGATCTTATCTCTGTCCTCCAAGTATTGTTTTACTGAAGCCACTAGTGTGTCTCCTTGCCCATAGTATATCAAGTGAGGCGGATCTCGTCTATATAACACTTTGAATGGTGTAGTTTATGACACCGAATGATAAGACGTGTTATACCAATACTCTTCCTGAGCCAACCATTTGGCCCACAACTTGGGTGTATCTGATATAAAGCATGACAAATAGGTCTCCACACTATGATTGACTACTTCTGTCTATTCGTCCATATGAGGATGATAATTAGTGCTTCTTTTAAGGATGGTCCCCTGCATTTTGAACAATTCCTTCCATAACTGGCTTAGGATGATTTTTTCCCTATTTGATATAATCGATTTTGAAATTCCATGTAGTC